AGTATTTATTTTTTATCTAGTGCATATTTTTTTAAGTCTCCCTTTATAGGTTACCAGTTGTTTTTTCTGGAAGATTTTTGAACTAATTTATAGACTGTAGAATTAGTTCTATGATTAAAGTTATTAAAAGTTACTATGTTACTATGATTAGGGTTATCAAGAATGCAGTTATAAGTCAGACTGAAAAGGACAAAAACTTATGAATTAAGTGGAATATAAAACAAAAAGTAGGATGAACTAACAAAACAAAAAGAAAATCATAGATATAGACAATAGAATGGTGGTTACCAGAAGTGAATTAGGTAAAGGGTGTCAAATATATGGTAACAAAGTAAGATAGACTTTGGGTAGTGAGCACACAATAGAGTATACTGATATTGAATTATAATGTTACTAGAGGCCCAGTTCAAGAAAATTCATGCACTGGAGAGGGTGTCCCTCAATCCAGCCTGTGCCCTCTCACAGTCTGGGAGTCCTCAGGGGGTGTCCGGAACGGTGCCACCCCCATCACTCTGTCACTATGCTGTTGCCTCTGGGCCGATCAGGGGACGGTGCTGCCCCCATCACCCCGCTGAAGCCATCCCCTGGCCTCCCTCTGCTGGAGGCAACTTGATGGGCTGATCAGGGGACAGTGCTGCCCCACCCCCGCATCACCCCTCTGCCACCGCTGGTTGCCACCACCCACCCATCGCTGTTCCCTCCCTCTGGCCACTGGCATGTACCTTGGCTGACCTGGCGCCACCTGCTCGCCAGCCCCGCCCCCTGCCAACTGGGTGTTCTGCTGTTGGGTCGATTTGCATATTACACTTTTATTATATGGGATTAATGGTATCCTAATAAGTATATTTTTACTTTGATGTAAATATTTTTATTGATTTTAGGAAGAGAGAGAGAAACATCAATTTGTTGTGCTACTTATTTGTACATTCATTAGTTGATTCTTGTATATGTCCTGACGGGATCGAGCCCACAACCTTGGCATATTGGGGTGACTTTCTAGTCAACTGAGCTAACTGGCCAGGGCCTAAATACCATATTTTTTAAAGTTCAGTTATGCTTTAGTAAAACTGCATTTTAATATAAAGACCGTATAATTGAGGAGGGCTATTCAATATTTTGTTTTTCTTACTGTAAAAACAAGGCAGACTGTCAGTTTGTAGAAGTTGTGGTTCTACAACCTTAGTTTCTTGGTTTGTTTTTTAGGAGGCCAGTCTTGCTAATAAACAGACTATTGGAAATTATAGGAATAAAGCTACTAAAGAAAGAGACAAACTTTTGAAACAAGAAGAAATGAAATCACTGGGTGAGTTTTAACATTCTGTCCAAAATCTGATTAGATACAGGAAAGACTACTTCTCTGTGTCCGGTGGGGGATGTTTCTAAAAATGCATGTTTCTGGGGTCTTTAAAAAGCATAAATCAGGTTGGTTTTTTCCCCCTCTGAGTATCTATTGATTTTTATGATAATTGAGAACTCTGCTTATCTTAAATCTATTTCAAGGTATAGCGTATCGCATGTTAAACTGACTTAATGCTGAATTAAGCACAACTTGGAGTTTCTAGAGCTTACAAACTGTTTTGGGCCATTTTGTTTGAGTCCCACAGCCTTATAAAACATGGCTTCCCAAACTTGACTGTGCATATGAATCACTTGGGAACAGTATTATAAACAAAGATTCTAAATTAGTAGTTCTGTGTGACAGAAGAGATTGTGCATTTGTAAGAAGGTGATAACCTGGCTGTTGCTCTTAGGACCACACTTTGAGTAGCAGGGCTTTTAAAAGCAGGTAAATGTTTGTCCCACTGCAATAGTTTATCTTAAGCCCAGCCAACTTGCTTTTTTGGTTTTAATCACCTGCTGGCTCCCTTCAGGAATTTGTAACCCCTGTGTATCTCGGCTTATATAATTTAACCTTAAATTATTTCAGGATTTTTATGTTACATTACAAAATACGTTGTTTTTTGTCTGTGTGCAGTTCTAACTTTGACCTTCTCCACAGCTTTTGAAAAGGCTAAATTAAAAAGAGAAAAAGCAGATGCCCTAGAAGCAAAGAAAAAAGAAAGGGAAGATAAAGAGAAAAAGAAGGAAGAGTTGAAAAAAATTGTTGAAAAAGAGAGAATGAAGAAAAAAGAAGAAAAAGAAAGGCTTAAAATAGAAAGAGAAAAGGTATTCATTTAAATATATTAGCTATGCCCTGTACATATAGTTAATAGTGCTTTACACATTTGAATTCCTGTTTAGTTTTCAAGTTCCTTTACCATTTTCATTCACATTTATAGTTGTGTATAGAGCACTGATAAACAATATTGATTTATCTCCCTTTTGATTTGAAAAATTTAATGAATTATTTAAAGTTCAACATATGTACACACACACACACACACACACACACACACACACACGGGATCGAGCTCACAACCCAGGCATGACCAGGAACGGTGTCACTCAACCACTGAGCCACACCAGCCAGGCATGAGTAAAACCTTTAAAATTAGTAAAATACATAATTAGAAAAAATACAATAAAATCTGACTCAACAAGAATTATTAGAGTTGTTATTCTCCTTAAAGAATAATAAGAACATTTCAGTAAATCTTTATTATAATCTTTAGTGGTAGATATTCCTTAGAGAATTCTATAGCTGGTTTTTCCAGAGGTAGTAATAGTCACTGGTTTTCTGAGATACTCACAGATAGCCTTGGATAATCATGTCATACACAGTGCTTATTAAATTGCCTGAAGTTCTATGGATTATTTCCATAGGCCATTGCAGGTGTACCTAATACATGTTTGTTCCGAAAAGGCAGAGATCAAAAAACACTTGTAATCTAAATGGTAACATATAGAGATAGCATTGTTAACACTTCGATTAATTTATTTCTAATCTTTATTCTGGACCTTAAAAAAGAGATCTAGCATTTATAATTTTGTGTACTTTTTTATTTAACATTATAAACATTTCTTCATGTTACTAAATTAAGTAAGGTGGAATTCTTAGTGACTGCTTAATAGTTAATCAGATAGATGTAGTTAAGTGGATTATAATTTTTGGCCCATGAATAATGATATTCTGTACAAATTTGTGAATAAATTTCCTTTTTATGGATTATGTTCCTGGATAAATTTGTAGAAGTAGAATAATGGGTCAAAGGGTAAGAACATTTTTAAAACTTTCTATACATGTACATGGGTGTTTGTTTAGCAAACATGTTGTGTTATTTACACTCAGCAATAGTGATGAGATTACCCATCCTATTACATCCTATAGGAATTATGTTGTAGTGGGGCAATGACTTATTTCAGCAGATTACTCAAAGCACAGTTAAGTTCTGTAACCATCTAGTCGTTTTATGTTGAAAGTTTGATAAGTGCACATCTGTTTACCTTTGGTGTTTCTAAATTTCAAGGGGAAAATGTTAACGTATTAAGCATTTATTGGAAAAATTATAATAAAATATACTGTGCTTTATTGGAGACTTTTTTAGTGTCAGTATTTATCTTGCAGTTTCAAATATCAGAACCAAGAAGTAAGGGTTTCAAAAGACCCAAGTGAGCAAGAGAAATGGCCTGTATTAAAAAGAAAGAAATTTACCAACTGTATTCTAATATTGCTTTTACTTACTGCTCCCTCTGTGTATGTCTAGTCTGACACGTTTAAATGAATCTTGAAAATGACAAATATATTGCAAATATAAGGGGCGGTTTTATTTTAGGTACTCTAATAATTTATTACCTACTTTGTCAGGATCTAATTGATTTGAAGTGTGGGGAGAGCTGCTATAGGCAGAGCCAGGTTGAATTAATACGTATCTAAGCACTACTGTGTTGGACATTTTCCATCTTTATAGCAGTTATGTCAGATAGGCATTGTTTTGATCAGTGGTTCCAACACTTTAGCATGCATGAAAAATCACTAGAAAGACTTCTTAAGACATTAATTGTTGGGGCCCAACCGCAGAGTTCCTGGTTCAGTAGATCTGGGGTAGGGCCCAAGTATTTGTATTTTTACCAGTTTCCAGATGATACTGATGCTGCCTTATGAATTTCTTATAAGAATTTCTATTAACCTTTTGTTCTAGGAAAGAGAGAAGTTACGTGAAGAAAAGCGAAAATATATAGAACACTTAAAACAGTGGAATAAACCTAGAGAAGATATGGAATGTGATGATCTTAAGGTATAAGTATGTTATGTGGTGTTTCACACACCCATGTTCTTTGTGTCCTATGTAGCTTTGTTGATGAAATATTTCTTTCTTATTAATAATGGCCTCTTTATATTTAACTGAGAGGAAATAGTTGAGCAAATGCTATATTTAGAGTTTCAAGGTAGTATTTCCTAACAAGCTTTGATAATGATTTTTTAAAAATGTATTTTTATTTATTTTAAAGAGGAAGGGAATAAGAGAGAGAGAGAGAAAAACATCAATTATGAGAGAAAATCATTGATAGGCTGCCTCCTGCATACCCCCTTCTGGGGATTGAGCCCGCAATCTGGGCATGTGCCCTGACCAGGAATCTAATCGTGACCTCCTGGTTCATAGGTCGACACTCAACCACTGAGCCACACTGGCTGGGCGATAATGATTTTTATCCTGCAGAATAATTGGTCAATCATGTGATCCTTGATAATCTAATAACCAGTGGGGCCAGGCATGCATTTTTAGCTTTATTGCTAGATAAAGAATTCTTCCATGCCCTGGCCAGGTGGCTCAGTTGGTTGGAGCATCATCCTGTACACCAGAGGGTTGCAAGTTTGATCCCCAGTCACGGTGCCTATGGGAGGCAATCGATCTATCTGATCGATGTTTCTCATTTTGATTTTTCCCTCTTCGCCCACCCCCATTCATCTCTCTTTAAAATCAATGAAAGTATATCCTCAGGGGAGGATTAAAAAAAAATTATTTCTGTCTCCAGATATGATCACAATATTCAAACCAAGCTCGTTCAGCTCAGTGTATAAGAAAGCATTTCTAAGTCAGTAAGTGGCAGATTAATTCTGTTCCATATCTTAAGGAGATCCCATATTGAAGATAATATTGATACAACTGTCTTGACCTGAGAATCTAGGTTAAAAGTTCCTCTTAACTAGAAAATGTAGTCAAAAATACACTTCAACCTAAAGTTATTTTCTTAATTTGATGAAGGAAAAAATACTTAGAAACTGGTTTAGTAAAGTTGGAATAAGGCCAGAACATCTGTAATTTTAAAAGTTCTAAAGGTGATTGTTGAAAACATTCAGGGTTGAGAACCACTAGTTACATGAAATAATTCTTATTCGGTAAAGAGTATATCATACCTACTTTTTACAACTTCCTACACTTGATTCAAATAGTTACATAAATTGTTTAATCTTGCAGGAACTTCCAGAACCAACTCCAGTGAAAACTAGACTACCTCCTGAAATCTTTGGTGATGCGCTGATGGTTTTAGAGTTCCTTAATGCATTTGGGGAACTTTTTGATCTTCAAGATGAATTTCCTGAGGGAGTAACCCTAGGCAAGTGCTTTTGTTGTGTTATAGTTCACCCTAAAATTAGTGGCTTTAAAGAACAAATTATTATCTCTCAAGTTCTGTGGAATCACTGGACCTACTTCTCTAGTCCTCTCTAGTTACTGTCAGACAGTGGCTGGAAATGGAGTCATCTCAAGGCTTACCTGGCTACATGTTCAAGATGGCTTCTTTACACGCATGTTTGGTGCTTGGCGCTCCTCCACATGCATCCCACTCCATCAGAGTAGCCTACACTTCTTATGTGTCAACTGAGGGCTCCAAGAGTCAGGACACAGAAACTGCCAGCCTTCTTAAATGCGAGGCCTGGAACTGGCAAGCCCTGTTTCTGCCCTATTCCATTGGTCAGGCCTGCTGGTATTCAAGGGGGTGAAAGAATAGACTTCACTTCTTGAGAGTGGCCTGGTAAGTAAGTGCAAGGAAGGAAGAAATTGACATCAGTCATATTTGAAAACAAGTTGATGCCTACCTTTAATTTGTGATTCTGCTTTGCCTCTGTACTTACATACTTTAATTTGTATGAACTTCATTTTTAAGAGTTAACTTAGTATGATTAGAGCTTTGGCTCCTATTTTGGATCTTCTCCTGTGAAATGGTAAAATAATGTCTTAAGATCCAACTAAAGACCTCAAAGACAGAATAATAATGTCACTCTTATTTCAATAAGAGTATATTCTCCACGAGGGCTTTTACATTCCCTAAATTTCTCTTTCTGAGCTAGGTTAGGTATGAGTCATTGTTACAGATCTAAATAATGCTGGTTTAAGTAAGATGAATTTGATGAGAGACATTTATAACTTGGATTTGATATTAGGGTTACACCTAATCTTGATTACCTCTCCTTTGCACTGTTTGGTAAAAGTAATGTCCCACATAGCTCTTAAGAACAGTGGGGCAACAATAACAAATCTTTACATTGTTATTCAAATTAGAGTAAAATCATAATTTTAAAGATGTACCTTAATTTACACCTCAAGTTTAAACTTAGGTGAAATATTGTATTGACCTACTGAGTCTAATTTGGCTTTCTTGAATGTGGTGATTTGGGCTTATGATTTTATTGGAATTTATAATAGTCATTATAATTGGGGGATTTTATTTTACCTCATGCTTGGCTCTACTTGGATAAATGGGCATTTAAAAAATAATTACATAGGCTATTGTTGATTGAAATGTTTATTATTCCATTGGAGTTGATTTTTTTCAGTACATGAACAGAACTTTAAATTGATTTTAAACATTTTATTCACAGAAGTGTTAGAGGAAGCTCTTGTAGGAAATGACAGTGAAGGCCCACTATGTGAATTGCTTTTTTTCTTCCTGACTGCCATCTTCCAGGCGATAGCTGAAGAAGAAGAGGAAGTTGCCAAAGAGCAAATAACTGATGCTGACACCAAAGGTCAGAATTCATATTATTGTTGATTGGTAGTGGCTTTGTAGTGATACTCATTTTTGAAGGTTATTTTAAAATTATCTTGGCTTTTACATTTATAAGACATAGTTGCTCAAGTTACCAAATTCTTGAGTCACATACTAGGAATGCGATATCAGTTGTTTTATAAAACCTTTCTTTTGATGTATCGTGTGTCTAATGACCTTGAAAATATTTTCTCCCTGATCTATCTTGCTTTTTATTCCATTAGATTTCTCCTATGATATAGTATCATTACAGATTTCATTGACTAGTATCTGTAATTCCAAGAGATTCCTCTAGTTGCACTGTTTTGCCCCACCTAAGGAAATACTTTTACTATTGTTATTAATACTTAAATTGAAAATACTACTGCTGATTTCATTTCAGATCTGACAGTTTTAAGATCAGAGTTAAGTAAAATTTAATTTTTTTAATTTCGCTACTTAGTTTGAACTAAAAATCTTGCTCTTTAAATTTTGTGTACCTAAATATCTGGAGTCAGTGTGTGGCACATATTAATGTAGGGATAATTCTTGGATAAACCCTTTTTTATTTTTAATATTTTGTTCAGGATTTTCCTCAATCAGAGGAATTGTTAAGCCATATTAAGAGATTGATTTGGCTTCCTAAATAATACTCTCTGTGAACTTTGCCACCTATGAGATTTAGGATCAAAAGCTTTATTAAACAACACTAATGTATTGCATACAAATTCACAATAAGAAATAACTTGGGAGACATCTTGATAGCAGAATCTTGGTACAAAAAGGTAGGAAATTCCTTCATTCAAATAGTATTTCTGGCCTTAGATAATTTGAGCTCATTTTCCTTTATGCTGGTCCTTGGAGCAACAGGATAAGATGAGTATGCATACAATGTTGGTTGCTTTTGGGTTTTATAGCCTGAGTTCAAGTAAAATATATTCTATAGCTTGAGTGCTAATCACCATAGATCCCTTATCAAGGGATCCATTTTAGCAATGTGGTCCCTGTTGTCATCACAGATAACTTAGTCAATTAAATGAGATTCTACGAAAGGGAAGATAGAAGGGTAAATCCATTTTTTAAAACATCTAAAGTTTATGTAAGATGACATGCACCAATACTAAAGATGGATTATCTAAGACAGACAATGTAGCACATATTCATTCTTGTAGCAATTAGTTGCCTTAATCACCAATAACATCACAGGGTTATTGACCAAATTCTGACCTTAATACAGGACATAAAACTGTAGTATTTAATTCAGGAATTGAAGCAGATGAAATCCCGATGACAAAAAGTGGGTGACCAGAAAATTTTGTTGGAAAATCCCCTGTGTAAAGGGAAAATATATGTGACTGTTGGTATTTGTATTGTCATTATATTTTGTTTTCATGATTAATTCGATCTGTAATTTCTATAGCTCTACTCCTTTGTAGAGCTGTCTATACATATAAATGTAAGGTCTCTGAATAAGTATTGGCCATTAAAACAAGGTTGTAATGCTCCTTTTGAAAATATTTATTTAAATGTTAGGGAGGGTAAAAAACACACTTGGGAATTTTTCACCTTTCTCTCACTTCCTTATTATTTTTCACCACATTTTATATAGTTATTTCAGTTTCTATAAGAGCCCTAGATTGTTCCCCCAGGTATCTTTCATTTAGTCCTCCCATTCAGTAACAAAAAAGCCTTTCCACAGTTTTCCTAAAGCAATAGAATAGTCATATGGGATTGAATGTTCTCTTGCTTCCTTTTTAGCTGGTCTTAATAGTAAGGTATTTTCCTGCTATTTCCAGAAAGGGGGAAATTGGGCAGAAGAGAAAAATATGAATTTATCCTAGTGACGAGAAAACAGGTTCATTGAAATTATTTACTGAAGATTACATAGATAATAAGTGATATAAATATTATATATGCATTATTTCATGTAATCCTCTTTGTCACCCTTGATGAGGTAGATATGATTATTTTCTGCCTTTTACATATAAAGAAACTTAGACTTAAGGAGTTTAATTAATTTGCCTAAAGACACATAGCTAATAAGAAAGTGATGGGATACAAACTCTGGCAATGCTATAAGGGCAAAGACGTTGAAATGTTGAATATTTGTTTCCCTAGCTTGGCCATAAATTTATCTGTATTCAAGAAGATCTAATTACTTTGCTCCTGGTCTCTGTTATATCAAATCTTGGAAGTTTTTACCAGCAGTTTTTAAAATCTTATATTAAAAATACCTATTCCTCACTTTAATATTACATCATAAACTTAAAAGCCCTTCAGAGCATAGGAATAAGAGCATCCTCCTTATCCTATCTAATAAAGAGGGAATATGCTAATTGACCCTCACACCATCACAAAGATGGCAGTGCCTACAGCCATAAAGAGGGAATATGCTAATTGACTGCCACGCCCTCAAAGATGGCAGCCCCCACAGCCACAAGATGGCGGCGCCCAGTCCCCTCAGTTCCCCAACCGCCCAGGGGCCAGCCTGAGGCACAGACAAGCCTCAGATGTTGGCTGCCCAGCTGCCCAGGGCTGCCTGAGGCTCAGGTAACCAGGGCCGGCCAAGGCTTGCACTGCTGGCAGTGGCAGCAGCAGAGGGATGGGCGGTACCCACAGCCAATAAGGAGGGAATATGCTAGTTGACTGCCACGCCCTCAAAGATGGCAGCGTCCACAGCCACCCAGGGCCGGCCTGAGGCACAGGCAAACCTCGGATGGTGGCTGCCCAGCTGCCTGAGGCTCAGGTAACCAGGGCTGGCCGAGGCTTGCACTGCCAGCAGTGGCAGCAGCAGAGGTATGATAGGAGTGTTGCCTTCCCCTAATCACCGGGTCACCTTCCGCCCCTGAGGGCTCCCAGACTGTGAGAGGGGGCAGGCCAGGCTGAGGACCGCCCCCCTCCAGTGCATGACTTTTCATGCACTGGGCCTCTAGTATAGAATAGTTTTGTATGTTGTTTGGTGTTGGAATGTTATGTACATAATTCTAGTTTACTATGATATAAGAGTATCTTTTAGATAGCCATAACACATAAAGTTCAAGTGTAGATTCTCTTGGTATGATGTACCCAGATGAACAGCTCTAGGCAAATCTTAGAGCAGCGGTCACCAACCGGGGGTCCGCGGACCTCTGGTGGTTCGTGAGGTCCAAAAGGTTGGCGACCACTGTCCTAAAGTGATATTTAAAGTTTCTGGAGAGTACCATTTGGTAAATAAATTGAGTTAAGTAATATTTTACATGTTAATATAACACAATTAAAAGTAAATTGTTATTTTATTGGTTGTCCATTTCCTAAGCCTTTAAATAGTAGGTTGAATGTGTGATTGCTGCAAAGGAAGAGAGCCAATACACTTTTACAGCTCACAACTAGGACTGTTGTTAATTTTACAGTGCCTATTAATTTTGTTTATTTGGCTTTAAGTAGAATGGAAATTGAAAAAGTTTTAGGTCTAGTATTTTCCTGGTGAGGAAGAATATAAAGTCTGTTTTTGGGCTAGATTCGTGGCTTGGTAAGAAGTTCTGCATATATGTAAAATTTAGTCAGGTAATTTCTCCTGAGTGGTATTGTTTATTCTTACGTGCCATGAAATTATCAATGATTGTAATCAGACAGGATATCAGAGCTGCCTTTTTCCTTTAGTAAAGGACAGCAGTTCTGTTTTCTAAGGTTTATTTTGTGAGCTTGTGAACTTTGGGAAGGAAATCATATAGTAGAAAGTTAATGAATCACAGAACCAGTTTAGCCTAGGGATTTTCCAGACTAATCCATAGAATCCTTCAGGTTGTACAGGGGTTCCTTGGTGCCACTGCAGGAGAGTTGGAAAGATGAATGTGCAGGATTGTCATCTCCATAACCCTTCTTTAACAAGGGCGTATTTTATCTCTTTTATGATGGAATTCCAAGAAATAATTTGAAAACTGCTGATCTAGACTTACCGCATCCAGAAAAAAGAAACCAATTAAGTGACTTTTTAGTTCTAAAGACTACATAACAAGGAACTAGAAATTGACTGCAGAAGCCTAAGACTAGACTATGCATGATCTGATTCTTAGTCTGAAGCTGGGTCCACTGTACTGTGACATAGGCTTAAGTTTTGTAAGCTTAAAGTTTTTCATAGTTGACACTCATTTTTTGTCATCTCTGTATTACAATTAGAAATAATTATATATGCTCTAAATACATCTGTGCTTGTTGATTTGCTCATTAGTCCTATTTGTAAGCTAAGCACTGTTTTCAAAGCTAAAGCAATTTACTTAGAAAATACAGGAAAATCTTCCTATTGTCTTTTAGATTGGAGAGTTTTCAAAATCAAAGCAAAATTTAAATGTATAGGATAAGTCAATGGTTAAGTGACAGCAGTGCTGTCTTTAAATTCTTTTAGCTTTTTTTCTTTGCTGGTTTTGCGATGATTACAACCTATACTTTGTTATGATTCAATCTTAAGATATTTAAAAAAGATTGGATATCTTCGTCAGCTGGTGTGGCAGAGTGGTTGAAAGTATCAACCTATGAACCAGAAGATCATGGTTCAATTTCCTGTCAGGGCACATGCCCAGGTTGTGGGCTCAATCTCCAGTGTGAGGCATGCAGGAAGCAGCTGATCAATGATTCTCTCTCATCATTGATGTTTCTATCTCACTTTCCCTCTCCCTTCCTCTCTGAATCAGTAAAAACATATATATTTTTTAAAGATTGGATATTTTCAAGTGGATTTTTATTTTCAAAGTAGTATTTTCCAAAGTTATATTGAGCGAATGATTTGTTTTTCATTTTCAAGTATATTTTACCTTTTTTTGGAAGGTGTATGTGTATGTTGCTGGTAACTTGGAAGTTGTCTTCTCTATGTTAAGTAAGGAAAATATTAATATGTAGTGCATGTCGCAGGATTTAGAGTTTTAGGTGGAGAGTAGGCAGAATATAAATGATGCTTGTACCCAGTGTTGGTTCTTTTGAGGTTTGTGAATATTAAGCTGTTTGCTGTTTCATCATTGTGAAAGGGCATTGTTCCCAAATATTCCAGCTTTGATTTGCACTAGAATAAAGTATTTATTTCCTTAAAGATTTAACAGAGGCTTTGGATGAAGATGCAGACCCCACAAAATCTGCACTGTCTGCAGTTGCATCTTTGGCAGCTGCTTGGCCCCAGTTGCACCAGGGTATGTGTGGGCTTTTTTTTTTTATTGGCTTTTTATTTTTAATTTTATAAAGGTACATTTTACATTGCTGAGAATTTATGGTTTACATTCTAAATGACTATTTTCATTTTTAACTATAGGCTGCAGTTTGAAAAGTTTGGATCTTGATAGCTGCACCCTTTCTGAAATCCTCAGACTGCACATCTTAGCTTCAGGTGCTGATGTAACATCAGCAAATGCAAAGTACAGATATCAAAAACGAGGAGGATTTGATGCTACAGATGATGCCTGTATGGAGCTTCGTTTAAGCAATCCCAGTTTAGTAAAGAAACTGTCAAGCACTTCAGTATACGATTTGACACCAGGTAAACTTTGCAAGTTGGAATTTGTATAACCTTTCCACTTTCTACTTTCTTATGTCTCTTACACCCAGAAAACTAGCTAATGAGATATTTTAGATGATAAGTAGTTTTAAAAGAGAAAGAGAAAATACAGTCTTTAAAAAAAAAGTGGTGGGCCATGACCGGTTTGGCTCAGTGGACAGAGCATTGGCCTGCAGACTGAAGGGTCCCAGGTTCGATTCCGGTCAAGGGCATGTACCTTGGTTGCGGGCACATCCCCCGTAGGAGGTGTGAAGGAGGCAGCTGATCGATGTTTCTCTCTCATCGATGTTTCTAACGCTCGATCCCTCTTCCTTCCTCTCTGTAAAAAATCAATAAAATATATACTTAAAAAAAAAGTGTTGGAATACCAATAGTGCCATATGTTGAAACTACTATTGTTCATATTATCTTTAATTATTTAGGATTTTCTTTTCTTTTTTATTGGGGTTTTCTATTTAAATCTTTTTTTATTTGTCTACTGAATCTACTAAGTTTAAAGGATAAGTGAGAATTAGCTTTCATTTTTATTAGTATATCAGAAGTTTAAGCTGTAACTACTAAATTCCAACACTTGCTTGCTTGAATAAGTGTTTGAGGTTTGAGAAACAGTATACAAATTAGTTATTTTTCACTGCCTTTTAAAATAAAAAAATTGTAATATACAAATATATACAGTTTAATTTTATCCGATTAAGAAAACAGGACATAGAGGAGTTTAATTCCTACCATTCATACAGTTTTTATAATTTATGCTAGTGTTTCTGAGCGGTCTTTTTAGAGTAGCAATTTGCCTATTGCCATTTTAAAGAAAATTCATGTGATTATAATTTAGTTTTGATTTGAACTTTATATATGAGCCTAAAAATTAAAACTTGAAAAATAATTCTTTGTAGTTAGAAGTTTTCCCATGCCGTAGCCAGTTTGGCTCAGTAGATAGAGCATCTACCCATGGACTAAAGGGTCATGGATTCGATTCTGGTCAAGATCACATACCTCAGCTTGCAGGCTCTATCCCCGGCCCCGACTGGGGCCCTGTATGGGAGGCAATCATGTGTCTCTCTTACATCAATGTTTCTCTCTCTCTCTGTCTCTCCCCCTCCCTTCACTCTCTCTAAAAAAAAAAAATCAATGGAAAAATATCCTCAGGTCAGGTGAGGATTAAAAAAAAATTTGGCATGTCTATTTCACTAGTATATGAGGTAGTCATTAGTATTTGAAATGCCTTATATAGCACATAACTGTTAAATTTGACTCAATGTTGCTTTTTTCTGAAGACATTCCATTTACATGTATGATCTTAAGAGACTTTCCCTTGTTCATTTAACATTCATTAAACATTTTCACATTGCGCCACAAATTAAAATTTTTCAGACATAATTTATTTTTTGTCATTGATAATACAGAAGTTATTTACCAATTTTTGACAGGAGAAAAAATGAAGATACTTCATGCTCTCTGTGGGAAACTACTGACCCTAGTTTCTACTAGGGATTTTATTGAAGATTACGTTGATATATTACGACAGGCCAAGCAGGAGTTCCGGGAGTTAAAAGCAGAACAACACCGAAAAGAACGGGAAGAAGCAGCTGCTAGGTAAGAGACAATTATTGTAAGTTGTGCCAATGAAAGCTATTTATGTTTTTGCATCTATTCTAGAACCATATTTCACATAGGGCTGTAATATGACATTGGCTCACACTGATGTTTTCTGGCTTTACTAAGAGGTTATAAATGGATTGCTACATTATGGTTTTGTGATAACGTTCACATGACTAATTTGATGATTAATGGTAAGATGCTAAAAGTTAAAAACATCTGATAGACTATAATTTTTTTTTACTTTCAGAATTCGTAAAAGGAAGGCAGAGAAACTTAAGGAGCAAGAACAAAAAATGAAAGGAAAACAAGAAAAACTGAAGGAAGATGAGCAAAGAAATTCAGCTGCAGATATGTCAATTGGGTATGCTTTGAATTACACTGTTTATCTTGTTATCCATAAAGAATAAAAATCAGCACCTTGAACTCTAAAAGACTTTCAGAATTTTTAGAAAACTAGTATTCTATAGATAAATAACTGTGTTGTGAGCCTATGAAAGTTACGTAGTATAGACAGCCCTTAGTATATGTGTTATGTGGTTTTTGTTTGTGTGTGTTTTATGTTTATTGTTGAGATTATTACAGATGTCCCTCTTTTTTCCCCCCATTGCCCACCTCCACCTTGTTCCCGCCCCACCCCAGGCCTTTGCCACCCTAATTGTCTGAGTCCATAGGTAATGCATATATGCATATAAGATCTTTGTTTAATCTCTTCCCACCTCCCCGCTCCCCTCCTTCGGAGAATCGTCAGTCTGTTCCATTTCCGTGCCTCTGATTCTATTTTATTCACCAATTTATTCTGTTCATTAGATTTCTTATTTGTTTATTTTGATTTTTAGATTTAATTATTGATAGGTATGTATTTGTTATCATTTTGTTGTTCATATTTTTTTATCATTTTCTTCTTCCTCTTCTTAAAGAATACCCTTCAACATTTCATGTAATACTGATTTGATGATGATGAACTCCTTTAGCTTTTTCTTGTCTGTGAAGCTCTTTATCTGAACTTCAACTCTAAATGATAGCTTTGCTGGGTAGAGTAATCTTGGCTGTAGGTTCTTGCTATTCATCACTTTGAATATTTCTTGCCACTCCCTTCTGGCCTGCATAGCTTCTGTTGAGAAATCAGCTGACAGTTGTATGGGCATTCCCTTGTAGGTAACTAACTGCTTTTCTCTTGCTGCTTTTAAGATTCTCTCTTTGTCTTTTGCCTTGACATTTTAATTAGGATGTGTCTTGGAGGGGTCCACTTTGGATTCCTCTTGTTTGGGATTCTCTGTGCTTCCTTGAAGGTCTCACTAAATCCCTTGGAGGTTTCTAGAAGATTATTGAGTAACCTTATAACTCTATATCTAGTGGTTTTGAATTCTATATCTAGTAGTTGGCTTTCTTCCATTTCTTTCATTTATGACATGCTTCTTTGTCTCCACATTATGGCTGCTTCCCTGTGTTTGTTTCTATGTATTGGTTAGAGCTACTATGTCTCCTGAAGTTGGTGGCCTTATGTAGTAGGTCCTGTAGGGCCCAATGGCTCAGCCTCCACAGTTAACTGAGCCAGGCACTCTAGGTGAACCCCTTGTGTGGGCTATGAGCACAGTCTTGTTGTAGTTGAGCCTTGATTGCTGTTGGTGTCACTGGGAGGAATTGACCTCCAGGCTAATTGGCTGTGAGAACCAGCTGCGACTACAGTGGGAGAGCTACTGTGCAGAAGACACCCCTATGGAGAAGATCTTGCTTCAGTGGGGCTTTGGTGCTCACTGAGTCTGCTGCTTGAGTGTGTCGCTTATGAATGTGAAGAGTTGTAATCTGGTATGGTCTCACACTGACCACTGGGTACAGTGGCTCTTGGTCCCCAGGGAGGTGTAAAGTCAGCCACTGCCTGGGCCACCCAGCAGTAGCTACAGAGAGATCTATAGATTTCTCCTCTTTGTATCAGGTTTGGAAGTGCCCAGATGAGGCCCAGCTCTGAAGCAAGGCAGGTTGGTTCTGGTGCTGGGTCTTGGGCCTTTTATTGATAGGTTTGGGGCTTCCGACCCAGCTGCAGCTTGTTTGACAGATTTTAGCCTGAGCAAGGAAAGGCCATTCATATGCAAAAGTTACTGCACACAGCTTTGTTGGGGTTGTAAATTAGATGGGTCAGGGTCTCAGGGAATCACCAGAGCAGAGCTGACAGAAATGGCTGCCAGTTAGCCCAGGGAGCATCTCCTGCGAGAAAGCTGCCCCCATGTGCCTGCCCCAATGCCAGACAGTCCAGTGAATGGGAAAAAAATATTTGCAAATCATATATTTGATAGTGGTCTAATATCCAGAATAGGTAAGTACTTATACAGCTCAACAATAAAAAGACAACCCAATTAAAAAATTGACAAAGGATTTGAATAGGCATTTCTCCAAAGAAAATACATAAGAAGCCCATGAAAAGATGCTCAACATCATTAGTCATTAGGGAAATGTTTATCAAAATCACAATGAGATATACTTGACACTGACTAAGATGGCTATAATCCAAATGAGAGACAATAAAAAGTGTTGGTGAGAAAGTGGAAAAAATTGGAACTCTTGCCCTGGCCAGCATGGCTCAGTGTTTAGTGTTGGCCTGTACATCAAAGGAAGGGTCTTGGGTTCAATTCCTGGTCAAGAGCACATACCTGGCTTGCATGTTGATCCCCACCCCAGTCAGTGTATGTTCGGAAGGCAGCCAATCAATGTGTCTCTCTCACATCAGTGTTTCTCTCTCACCCTCCCTTCCTCCCATTTAGAGAGAGAGAGGAAGGGGGGAGGAAGAGAGAGAGAGACACATTGATTGGTTGCCTCTGGCACAGGGTATGTGCCCTGACTGGAAATCGAACCAGCAACCTCTCAGTGCATGGGATGATGCTCAACCACCTGAGCCACACTGGCCAGGGCCATAGCAACATAATTATTAAT